GGGAACGAGCAAAACACACAACTGCCTAACTTGACAGTTATTGCTCACCATGTCCTCGGCAGGATGCTAACTACTAGAGATACAGAGGTGAATACGAAGCATCTATGAGCTGTCTTTGTGGACCAGGCAGCTTGCCAGTCACTGGAGCTGTGCTAATTGGTTCCTGCTTTCATAACATTTCTGAAGCATTTCATACTCCAGAGGGAAGGAGAGACATGAATGGTGGGAGGTGTGATAGAGCTGAACTTGGGGCCGAAAGCAACTCATCAGCCCAGTGTCCACCTCTAATCCCATCTGCTCAGGAGGCCGATGCCGGAGGATCACAAGTTTGAGGCCAGCCTGGGCAACTTGAGACCCTGTCTCAAAAATAAAATTAGCAAGGCTCAGTGGTAGAGCTCTTACCCAGCCAGCATGCATGAGGCCCTGGGCTCAATCCCCTTCACATACACACACACACACACACACACACACACACACACACACACCCCCAACTAATTCTGCTTCACTGTGACAGGGAGTGATCCGAAGAAAAGGAACATGGCCTTGGAACATGGGTGGGAGCCTTACCTAGTAAGGATCCTGCATTGTATCTCAGAGGAAGAAGTATGGAGACATTAAAAAAGTGTATCTCATTTGCTAGGAGAGCTGTCAGAATGTTCTTGGGTGATGATAACAGAAAATCTAACTCAACATGGCCTTCAAAAGTAAGGAAAGGTGTGAGCTCAAACAAGAAACCCAGAGGAAAGACGGCAGCAGAACTGTTTAATTCAGGGGCTCAGCAACCATCGGAAACACAGCTCACCCTCGTCTTTCTGCTCTGCTGTTCTCGGTGCAGGGATTTTAACCTCAGGTGTGTTCCCTTCTGGGTCATCTAAAGGCCCCAACCATTGCAGGCATTCTACCTTCACAGGACACTGGTCAAAGGGGACAAGACAGGAGATGACCTCTTCCCAGGTCCCCAGTATGATAGTCTGTCTTAGGAGCTGCCCATAGGTCCTCCTCAGTCTCACGGGCCAGGAGCCCACTGCTGTCCCTCACTCACCCCAGCCAGATCATGGGATGAGACCAATGTTCAAATTACTTCGTTTTGGAAAACAGTGTCATTTTAAACAAGATGCTCTTCCTATTTTCAGACCATCAATTATTAGTAAATAATATAGAGATGGTTAAAGCACCAGGGAATGTTTTGTATGTGTCCTTGTATATAATACACAGTCACACATATTAATAAAGCTCTGCTTTGTTTTTGTTCCTAATTAAGCCGAGGAAGTTATTGCCAAGTAAAAGACACATTTAAGACAAGTTAAAACAGGATAGTGTGGATTCTATCAAATGATTATTCTGTGAGAGACTATGATCATTGAATAATGAATTCATCAATCACAGAACTTTTTTAAGAGGGAAAGAAATAAGAAACAGGAGCAGAAACAAACACTTGTATTTGTTTTTCTTCCTTTTTTGCAAGTTTAAAATTTTACATGGCAAAGTCTTTGTAGCTGAGTTAGAAAATAGCCCCCTCTTGTGACCAAAAATCAGCTAATTGGTCATAAGAGTGAAAATAAAGCAAATTTTAACCAAGTGTTTCCGAAGAAAGAGGAAGCAGGAAAACAGGAAAAGGCTGCCCCCTTATGGATGGTATTGTTGTTACACTTCTTGTGTTAGAAACTCCTGGGTCACAAAACACGTCACGCCGGTGTGTTCAGTTATGATTGCTGACTCTGATTCCCAAGGCAGATTTATATTGGAGCTCTCCTGTGGGAAAATTATGATTATGATTTTTTTTTTTTAGTACCGGGGATTGAACTCGGGTCCTTGAGCTTGCACAGCAGGCGGTGAAACCACTGAGCTAAATTCCCGGCCCCTAAAAATTATTTTTTAAAAATTTCTTCTATTACATGGTTGCTACGCTGTCTCTACATTTATTCTTGACTTTTAACATGCACAAGATGAAAGTCGTATTAACATTTTAACCCAATTTTTTACAAACATTATCAATTGTAATAAGTTAGCTAATGGAGGTAACCTTCCTGGAGGATGACTGATGATTTAGAAATACAAATGAAGTGGGAAATTAGGTAATTAAAGATCACTGAACAGTTTCAAATCAGCTGCCTTGAATATTTTCTCATGTACTATTTAAAGTTATGGCATAGACATAGACAAGTTATTTTAGGTAACTACAACTAATTGGGATAGTTCCTCAGGTCTGAAGAAATCATAAAGATTACTAGGTTTGAAAATAAAACAGAAACCTTAGTAAGAAAATACAAATCTTAGTTTATCTTTAATATCTACAAAAATACTGAGGCAAATTGCTGATCAGCCAATTTGTATTCATCTCCTGTATCATGCAGGATGAATTTTTAAAAACAAAACCAAGATAACTTTGTAAAGACAAAAGTGCACAAATTTAACCAAGACTAAAATGAACTGAGATTAAGATGAATTTGTTTATTCAATTCATTTGAATAACAATTATATGATTATTACCTCCAATTCTTTACTGAAAGTATGCTTGGCAATACTTTCCTCATTTTACAGAAGATTATGTACTTTTTTTTGGTACTAAGGATAGAATTCGGGTCTTTGCACCTGCAAGGCAGATGGCAGAACCATTGAGCTAAATCCCAGCCCTACCTCTAATATTTCTTGAGGGCTTGCTATGAGCCAGCCAAGAGCTAAGCATTATTATCTCATTTAAAGCTGTTTTATAATTTACATCACATATAAAAAAACTAAAGCTTAAAAAGTTTAAGTAATATGACAAGGCCAAGTCATAGAGAAAGGTTTCAAACTCAGAGCTGGATCACAGCCGCTTTAAAACATTTTTTATCATAGGTTTTCAATACATGATATTCACATTCATTTGGGGAATTGATACACACGTATACCATATCTTGATCATGTTCGATCTCCAGCCCTGGCCCTTCACCCTTCCTCTTTCCCCTGAACCTCTTCCCCATCTCCAAAAAGTCTGACTTTATTTTACTCTTTATTCATATTTTGGGTTTCTCATATAAGGGAAATTACTCAATACGTAACTTTCTGTGTCTGACTTACTCGACTTATTATATAGTCTCAAGATCCCAACATCGTAACCACTGTTCTGTGGTTACCAGGACGCCAGGCCCGGTACCCCAGACTCCAGCCCTCCAGCGCTCGGCATTTCAAGTTACGTTAGTTCTGTCAGAGGACTCAGCTCGCTCGGTGGCGGTGGATAAAGGGGCGCTCTTCCCAGAGCCTCTGCTGCTCGTGCAGCCCTCTAGGGTCAATTACAGAAGCAAAAGTCAAAAGGGGAAGAGAAAAGGGAAAGGATTCCTCCAGATGAGGATGTAGGCTTTCTGATAAATTCTGTTTCAGTTTAAAGTTAGACGATAATTGCAATCTTTTTTTTTGAAGCTGTTTTGAAACAGGGTCTTGATATGTAGCCCAGGTGGACCTCAAATTAGCAATCCTCTGCCTCTGCCTCCCGAGTGCTAGGGTTACAGGTGTGCGCTGCTGCACCCAGCTGGATAACTGTGCTCTTAAGCATCCGGAATCAGATTTTATTCTGCTTTGGTTCAGCCGATCTCTTTACTTTTAGACCTGGTTGGGGAGAGAGTAGGGTAGTCTGTTTTCATCTGGACCGATCCTGGGAAACTCATCCTCATCTCAATTCATCCCCAAGTCACACCACGGTCTTCCGTGTCCTTGGTTCCCCACCCAAAGGCTCCTTGGAGAGGAGCCAGGCACATACCAGGCTCAGGGAGTGGAGGAGGTGACAAGGAGAAGTCTTCAGCTATGCACAGGAGTAAGCTAGATCGAGGAGGAGGAGGAGGACGCTCCGAGTGGACGGAGCAGCGAGCACAGGACCTGGGCAGCCTGAATGTTTAGGGAGCTGTAAGCAGCTGCAGACATGGCTTCACGACAGGAGAGCAGTTTAGCCAAAGACTGTCAGGCTCTGTATCACCCCGTGGGGTTCAGAAAGGTTACAGTGAAGGCAGCTTGGGGAGTCGTTAGAACAGTGCCCAGTATGCAGTGAGTATTCAGTAGACACTGACTCCTATGTACTAGCATCGTGGGTGGTGAGGTGGGCAGGGGCCAGCTGGGAAGGAAGAAAGTTAAAACTTTATGACAAGTCATGGAGAGCTAGTAAAGGTGCAGGAGCAGTCGTAGGGGTGGAAAGGCCATTTTGGCTTCTGAATAGAGGATGGATTGAGCAGGAACAAGCCGAAGACAGGCAGACGGGGAGGAGGCGACTGCAGGAAGCCAGATGAAAAGAGATGGGAGCTCGAACAAGTGAGTGCCGGGAGCTGTGGAGAGGAGAGCGAGCAGCAAGCAAGGTGGGCAGGTGGAACCCACAAGACCAGGCAGCCGGACCTCGGGGTCAGCCCTGGGCAAGTGGGCGGAGAAGGTTATCAGGCCCTGAACGGGGGAATGCCAGAAGAGTGGGTGTGGAGGGAGAAGGGGGTTTGTTCAGTACACGGTGTCTTTGATCTTGGACATACAGAGTTCGAAGAAAACGGCCAAGTACGGAAGCCTAGAAGGGTAAGTGGCGGGTCGGCGTGGTACATCGGCCAGACATTGGAACCCTCTCGGTAAAGAAAAAAGCCTGGACTATTTATTAAACAGCGCTGTTTACACTGCTGGGCTGAAAAACATCTATCTTTTGTTAAGGTGCTACCTGTGCCTTGAGTATAGATAATATCATAAAGACAAAGCCCCATGTGGCGATTCCAGTGTTACCATTTATTGTCACACGGTGGTGGCTGAAAGAGACACTGCTGAAATCAAAGACATAGAAGTCACGGTTAGGCTGTATCGTGAGGACTTTGTTAACTGTTTTCCTTTACAGTGTTTGTCTTTGGCCACAGTGTATAATTCACAGTAATTAACCGATATATGTGTGCATATGGGGGTAAGTGCTAATATGTGTGTATGCAGAACATGTTTTTAGTTTTACCCTTTGCTGTCACTTGAAAATGTTACTGTAACTGCAATCTTTCAACCTTTCTACATAGGTATCTCTGATGACTATATAACACCCATGTTTAGTTTTTATAAAAGTGTTGGAGAATTGAAAATGACCCAAGAAGAGTACGCCCTGCTTACTGCCATTGTTATCCTCTCTCCAGGTAATTTCAGCATTACATTTTAATTTTTATGTTGTTTTTCTCAGTAGAATAGTAATAGTACTTATTAAAGAAAATCTGGAAAACATAGAAACATAAAGAAAAAGTAAAATGGCCTAAAATGACACCATTCAAATCGAACCATTGTTAACATTTTAGCAAACATCTCGGACTTCTTCTCAAGATTACCCTCAACATTCAATAAATACACAGTGAACACTTTGTATGTATTAAGCACGGCTCCAGACACTGGGGATAAAGTAGCAGCCAGCTCTCATGGAGCTCAAATCCTAGTAGGGTAGGAAGATAGTAAATGAAGAGACAAAAATCTTCAAGAGATGCCAAATGCTACAAGAATAGAATGATAAGAAAATAAGGAAACAGGGCCGGGGATTTAGCTCAGTGGTTCCACTGCCTGCCTCGCAAGCACAAGGACCCGAGTTCGATCCCTGGTACCAAAAAACAGAAAATAAGGAAACAAAGTGGCAGGAGAATGATGTTTTAATTAGTGGCCAGGGAAGACTCTTCTAAGCAGTGGACATAAATGGGGTTATGTATTTTATAACAGAGAACGTACTATGTCTTTTTGGAAGTTTACATTTCTTTAAAAGTCTTTACAAGTCATTACAAACTGTATTGGAAAAATACTCTTGAAATGCGTTGTATATATATATAATATATATCTGTATGTGTGCGTGCATATTAATTCATGGAGTTGAACATAGTTCATATGTTTTAAGTGTGCACTTGTAAACGTCATTTCAAGAAAGTCGACATTGCCATAATTATGCCAAGTTAATGCTTTCCTGCTTCTTTGCCCTTTGATTTAAAACTGCAAACCAGACAGACAGTATATAAAAGACAGAGAGGCGGTGGAGAAGCTCCAGGAGCCCCTGCTCGATGTGCTGCAGAAGCTGTGCAAGATTCATCAGCCCGAGAACCCCCAGCATTTCGCCTGTCTGCTGGGCCGCCTCACAGAACTTCGGACGTTCAACCACCACCACGCCGAGATGCTGATGTCGTGGAGAGTGAATGACCACAAGTTCACCCCGCTGCTGTGTGAAATCTGGGACGTGCAATGAGGCCTTGCCGAGGGGGACCAGCTCCTCTGTCTCCTTGTAATATACATCTGCTGTATGACTTTGCTCTATTTCCTTTGTACCTGGTCTCACTCAAGAATCTTGACAAAATGTATGTAGTAATCATATAACTTCTACAATTGTAAATATGGGGAGTAGATAGAATTACTTTCTCCACACCATGCTTCAGAAGGCTGCAGGGAATCCTCTTCTGACTGGCATGCCCTGTTTGCCTAATTAAATTGATTGTTACTTCAATTCTAGCTGTCAAACCTGGGAAGCCTCATATTGTCCTTCATCTTACCGTATCGCATGTATTTTATTAAAGAGTTGTGTTCAATTTTGGCAATAAAATGAGCGTGATGGCAACAGGCTTTTCTATGGGGACAAAATTTGACAAATATTTCTTTAGGTGATGAAAGACATCATCCTATCAAACCTGGGGCGGGGGGGGGGATGATTAAACAAAGATAAACATAGCGTAATGGCCCTTTTTAGTCCCCAGAGAGGCCATGGTGAATATAATAGTCATTCATTTGTAATGGCCCTCTGATCATCCCATTTGCTTTGAAATTCCAAAAGAATAGTGTACAGAAAAGTTACAATTTTCATACAAAATATTCCCACAAGCAATCCTTTTCTCCTTTGTTGGGGTCTAGGGCCAGCATGTACAAGTTGAGAGTGTGCAGTAGCTACAGTGATTTGAAGGCCCCTTATCTCTCTTAAAAATGCTCACTGTGGCTTCAGTGCATACAATTCATTATTTTAAAATTTGTTTTGTTTTGCTTTGGGAAAATACTCCAGCAGCTGGGTACACAGCTGTTGAATACTTCCTCCAAAGCAGGAATTAGTTAATTTCCTTCCTCCATTGTTCTGTTGCTACATTCTTCTCCCCATTATCCTATGGGGAAGACAATAAAACACCTTCTATAAGTAATGGGCCTAAATCTCCCTTTCTCCTGAAGTCAGCTAAAAAGGAGTTTGCCTAGCAAGCAAAGAGTTGTGCGTGCATGCGTGTGTATGTGTGTGTGTGTGTGTGTGTGTGTGTGTGTGTGTTTGTATTAAACCTCTAAAACAACACTGGAGTTCTAAAAATAATTACCCATTGGAAAAAGGAGTGACTTGGGGCTAGCATCTGTTGGATTCTGTTTGATAGAAAACAATGGCTTGAGTGCCCCCTCCCCAAGTTCAGGATTCTTTTGCTAAACTCCATGGGTGACACAAAGATGATTAGGACCCAGAAACTGCCTGCAAGGGGTTCCAAGCAGTGAGGAGGACAATAGTGTGGGCTCACTCAGGATCCAGGAAAAGTCTCACAAAGGAGGAGGCTTCCACGGGACTGGGGGTTCAGGCTGAAGGAGGGGCAGAGCAGAAAGAGAAAGGTTGGAATTGTGTGGCTTCCCCAAAAGACTAGAAGTAATCTGGGGAGAGAGGCAGGATATATGTTGCTTCTCTAAGCTTCAATTTCACCAGTGTACAGATGAAGCTATCAGCGTTCACTTACTTAAAGGGATTTGGTTGGTTAATGAAAAGTAGGTGGGAATGTGCAGGCCCAGCAGGCAAGAGGGACAGTGAAGAAAGGAGATTAGAGACAGAAGTAAATGTCTGAATGTCTGAAAGGGAAGATCCAGTTTGGAGGTACCGAGGGTAGTTTGGTGTCTCTGGATCACAAGCTTTCAGGAGGGGAAGTGGGAGCTGATGGGGCTGCACAGACAGCGCTAGAACCTTAGTCCTGTGGATCTGGGATTATTCAGGCAGTTAAGAACAGGTAGAAGCAAACGATGATGCCTACCATCTGGAAAACTAATCGCCAACATTATGAAAAATAGATATTTGGACTTTGATCCCAGTCCTGACACAGGGCTCTGGGAACCCCTGAAGTCTTGAGGGATAGGAGCATATTCTGGTATTCATAAGAAGCCCCCTTTAACCACAACTAAATTTATGTTACTACGGTGACTCAGGATGGGGCTACTTGCCAGAGGAACAACCATGTGATGAAAGGGTTGGAATTTTTGGTCCCAACCCCCAACCTGCAGGGAGGAAGAAGGGCTAGAGACTGAGTCGAATCACCAAAGGCCAATGACGATAAATCATGCCCACAGAATGGGATCTCCATTAAAGTCCCCCTAACAGTGGGATTTGGAAAACTGGGTTGGTGAACATACGGAGGTGCTTGGAAAGTCGCCTGCCAGGAGAGGGTGTGTGGCAGCTCTTTTCCCTCCCTGTCCTCATGGTTTGTCCTGAGAACTGTGCCCTTTATAGTAAATTGGTAATAGTGAGTCAGCTGTTTTCCTGAGTCCTGCAAGCTAGTTCAGATTACTGAGCTTGAAGATGGGGGTGTAGGTGCTCCCAGTTTATACCTGATTGGCCAGAAGTGTAAGCGTTCACCTGTGACTATAACTAAAGTGAGGACAATATGGTGGGCTTGGCCACTCAACTTGCAGGGCCCTTGTTAAATCTGGGGAATTAGTGTCAGAATTGAATTGGATCGTAACACACCCAGTTGGCATCAGGAGTAATTGTTGGTTAGCATAGAAAAGAACCCCACACATTTGGCATCAGACATGTTGTGAGCAGAAACAGATCAGTAATGGAATTTTTTTTCCCAGACAGAATTTTTGTGAGACTTTAAGAAAATTCCAAAAAGCAAGAGTAAAAGCATAGTAAAAGTCTGAAATCAAATATCATACACATGAGGAAATACGGCAGAATCTGGCTTTAAGATAGGAAAGTGCCTATTATTGATAAGAGTAGCATGGAAGCAGATCTGCCACTAATTAGCTGTGAGACCCTTCTCCCAACAGCAAAAAACCCACATGTTTTTCAAGTCTCTATAACTCTCAGTGTCCTGCTGTGCAGAGTATGGACAATATGCTGTTTCCACCTAATGGGTTTGGTGTGAAGGGCAAGATTGATTATTTCAAAATCAATTTATGAGACAGCACATGTCAGTACTAAGCATTCAGGAAATGGTAGCTATTTTTAAAAAATAAATCTGACTGGGCCAGGGATTTAGCCCAGTGGTTCTGCTGCCTGCCTCTCAAGCGCAAGGTCCCGAGTTTGATCCGGGTACCAAAAAAAAAGAAAGAAAAAAACAAAAACAAAAAACTGACTGCTATAGCTGGTGTTGCTGGGGTTTTGTTTCTAAAAACCTCTTGGTTTTGATGCAATGAGATGACAGCAGTGACTGAAACATGACTTGTGGAAATTACAGTATAAATAAGGACGTCAGAATGAAGTGTAAATTCTAAGTCCTATGACGGAAGAGTGTCCGTCTTTGTCTAGCATGCCCTTTTATGGATCATTTTCCACACTGTCATTTGAATATCTCTTTCTAAAACAAAAATCTGGTTTTGCGGCCTCTTCCCACTCAATGATTTCCTGTTGGCTTCAGAAAAACTTCATTTCTTGGCAGAGCAGTTGGCGAGTGAGACCCTTCGTCTGGCCCTACTCCAGCCTCCTGTCCTTCCCCTGCCTAGAATCTGAAAGGCACTCCTCTCTCTTAAACCAAATGAGAAGGGAAGAATGGAGAGAGAAAGGGCAAATAAAGGTGTTTCTTGCTCTTTCCTTCCCTCCTAGCATAGTGGGTCACAAATGAGGGGAGTGATTATCCAGCTCAAAATGCCAATTATGACAGGAATGAGAAACCCTGCTCTCTCCATCCTAGCTTAGTCTAATCATCCTGTCTTAGCATTCTGCACCAAAACAAATAAACTTCTGTTGTTGGGAAATCCAAGGTCCAGCAGGGTCTGATGGGGTCCCCCTACCTGGCTCATGGTTCTCACCTGCTAGCTCACATAGTTAGCTGTCCAGGGTCCCTTTTACAAGGGCTGAATCCCATTCACCAGGGGTCCACTTTCAATCACCTCCAATGTTCCACATCCTAAAACAATTACCCTAGGGGCCAGGATCTTAATAAATGAATTTTATGGAGGTACAAATATTCAGGCCACACTGCACCCTAAAAGGTGTGTCCCCACCCAGAAAAAAGCAGGGCTAGCAATCTTATTTGCAGACAAAGTAGATTTCAAACCAAAGCTAATTAAGAGACACAAAGATGGTCACTACATACTTATGAAGGGAACAATCCAAGAGGAAGAGATGACAATCCTAAATATGCATGCACCAAATACGAATGCCCCCAACTATACAAAACAAATATTAATGGACATGAAAAACCAAATAAGCACTAATACAATTGTAGTGGGGGACCTCAATACCCCACTATCACAAATAGACAGATCATCTAGACAAAAAATTAACAA